ACAAATTCATCCATCATTTTTCTCAATCTCCGGTTTCAAATCTTGTCTTCTTGTGAAGTTTTTTTTTTCAGTAGTGAAGAGAGCTTCCATTGATGACGTTTCATATCTAATTCTCCATTCTCTGTTTCTGTGTGATTCTCCATTCTTTCTTGATGAAGAAATAGTCAAATAGATCAAAATCAGCTAAATTCAATCATGAGGAGTTGGGGATTATTTTGTTTCTTAGTTATCTTTTCCTTCTTTTCGTTTTCACCTCAAACATGCATATCAAGTGTTCGACAAAATGGCAAAGTGAACCCAGGGTTCGAAGCGACTCAAATGAAATACATAGACAACAACGGATTATTCATGATATCAAATTCATCGATTTTCGGATTCGGTTTCAATCCCAATAGTGACGTCACTTCATTCACTTTAGTCATCATTCATATGACCAGTTCAACGATCATCTGGTCTGCAAATCGAGGCTCCCCAGTCGGCAATTCCGATAAGTTTCTGTTCGACGATGACGGAAATGCTTATTTACAGAACAACGGGAGAGTCGTCTGGTCAACAAACACCGCCAAAAATGGTGTTTCCGCCATGGAACTGCGTGATTCCGGGAACTTGGTGTTGGTTAAGAACGACGGTGGTGTTGTTTGGGAAAGCTTCAGCCATCCGACAAACACACTTATGTCGAATCAAGATTTTGTGAAAGGGATGAAGCTCGTAAGCAATTTGAATAACAATTTGAGTTTTTCTTTGCAAATCGAGAATAAAGATCTGATTTTGTCAGCGGAGTTTAAGAACTCGCAACCGTATTGGTCGATGGGGAAAGATAAAAGGAGAATCATCAACAAAAGCGGTGGAGATGCAAATTCTGCCACCATTGAAGCTAATTCATGGAGGATATATGATGAAAATGGAATCTTTCTTTCGCAATTTGTTTTTGCAGATGATTCTGATGCTAATGACACGTGGATTGCAGTTTTAGAAGATGATGGATTCGTTAAATTCCATAATCTCCAATCACAAATCACTGCTAACCCTAAAATTCCAGGTGATTCATGCAGCAGACCATTAGCTTGTCCGCCATATCTCGTTTGTCATGATGGGAACACTTGTCAATGTCCTTCTGGACTCGCTCAAGTTAACTGCAAACCCGAAATCGAATCTTCATGTAACAAGTCGAGAATTTCATCTTCTCTTGTCAACGCAGGGGAGAATCTGAGCTATTTTGCGCTAGGGTTCGTTTCGCCGGATTCCAAAACCGATTTAGATGGCTGTAAATCGTCGTGTTTGAACAACTGCACTTGCGTGGCTTTGTTCTTCGATAACAACAATGGAAACTGTTACCTGTTTGATCAAATTGGAAGCTTTGAAGACGCTAAAAATGGCGCGAATATCGAATCATACGTTAAGGTTTCAGATACTCAATCTGACTCTTCTCAGGGTCAAAATAGTAAGAAACAGTCGACACAAATGGTGATAGTAGTGGTTGCTGTAGTCCTAGCAGCAACATTGGTTATTATCGGACTAGTAATCGTCGGAATTCGATACAACAGGAAGATGAATACTCCGATTGAAGATCCCGATGAAATCTCTGAAGAAGATAATTTCTTAGAGAACATATCTGGAATGCCTGTTCGTTTCACCTACAAAGATCTTCAAGAAGCAACGAGTAATTTCACTACAAAGCTAGGTCATGGCGGATTCGGTTCAGTCTACCAGGGTGCGCTAAAAGATGGAACTCAACTCGCGGTCAAGCGGCTAGAAGGGCTCGGGCAGGGGAAGAAGGAGTTCCGGGCAGAAGTGAGCATAATCGGAAGCATCCATCACCACCATTTGGTAAAACTCAAAGGATTCTGTGCAGAATCAAAACATCGACTTCTCGTTTACGAGTATATGGCAAACGGATCATTAGATCGATGGATTTTCGGCGAGTTTTTCCTCGATTTTGAAACGAGATACAGTATCGCAATCGGAACAGCGAAAGGATTAGCGTATCTCCACGAAGATTGCGACGTGAAGATCATTCATTGCGATATAAAACCAGAAAACGTCTTATTAGACGAGAATTTCCAATCAAAAGTTTCAGATTTCGGTTTAGCGAAGCTTATGACACGAGAACAAAGCCATGTGTTTACGACATTGAGGGGAACTCGAGGTTACCTTGCTCCCGAATGGATCACGAACTACGCGATTTCAGAAAAGAGCGATGTCTACAGCTACGGAATGGTGTTGCTTGAGATTATCAGTGGCCGGAAAAACTATATCTCGCCGGAGACGTCGCATTTTCCGGCGTACGCTTCGAGGATGATGGAAGAAGGTAAAGTTGAGATCCTGTTGGATGAGAAGATGAAAGTGGATGAGAAGGATGAGCGGGTGGTGGTGGCGATACGGGTGGCGTTGTGGTGTATACAGGATGATATGAATTTAAGGCCGTCGATGACGAAGGTGGTGCGGATGCTTGAAGGGCTGAGTCCGGTTCCGGCGCCGCCGGTTGTTGGTCAGACCGGGTTCTTTTCGAGTTTGTCTAAACCGTTTAGTGAATTTGGTACTTCATCTGGGCCTTCAGATGGGAATAGTGATGCATATTTATCGGATCTTCGGGTTTCTGGGCCTAGGTAGATGAATGTGTATATGAATTTATAATTTTATAATTTTATATAATAATATGGCTGTAAATTTTGAATTATTTTATAGATGTTGTAGTGATTTGTGTTGAAGGTAGTTCAATTACGTTTTTACCCGTTTGTTTTATATAAATTGGATGTTTAAGTTGATTTTGGGATATATTACATTCACAACCAAAACAAATCCAATTATCCTTAAAATTTTTTTTTTTTCCATATACATAACTTAACTAAATCTAATTTTTTACGCCTATTAACAACCCAACCCAAACCAAACATTTATACTATTATTTATAATTAAGTTATTATTTATAAAAACTACCTTTTTTTTATTTTTTTTATAACTCAATTTTTTACTATTTTTTTATACAGACAATATACAAAAATTCTTAAAATATATCAATATTGGTCTCTATTTGTAGACAAAATTATTTTATGTATTTTAGTGTATTTTGTTAATTTTTTGAATAAAAATAAAATGAAATTAATTACAAAATGATATTTATGTAAAACGAGTTATAAACAAAAAAAAAAGGGCCAAATAGAAGTTCGATAGAGCAAACCTGTCGTGGGTTTTCAAGGAATTCTTCATTTCTTTTAATTCAAGTGTGACAACCGACTAAAGATATACGTGTGCTAATGGGTCAGTCTAATCAGAAGTTGGGACTAAACCAACCCGAACTGGATCGGTCGAAGCAAATCCGTGAAGTACTAGCTACAACTTGATATCGGGACTCATCTTGAAGAGAGAAATTAGTCAGAGAAGCTTCCAAATTAAAAGACTTAGGTAGTGTTTTGTTTTTGTGGAAATATTTAATTTTTATCTTTTTTATGTCCGATGAAAATACATCGAAGAAAAAAAATGTTTGTTTTTCAGTAGGCAAAAAACATAAAAATATTTTTTTGACATCTTTTTCCGGGAAACAAAAAAGTAGCTTTTAATTTTGGAAGACGTTTCTAAGTTCAAGAGTGTAATTGAAAATGACAAAAATACCCTTACGTGACACACAAGTTGTTCTAAGTTTAAATGTCTAAATAAGAGAATGTCAAGCTAGAGACAAAACCAAACGTGTAACATATTGAAAATTTAGAGACACCTAAAATTAAAAAATATTAGAGATAAAACGTGCAACCTACCATAAGCCACAAAGATCATTCCTGTAAATTTTATGAATATATTTGTAGTTAAATGCTTTTTTATTGTAAAAATTTGAGAAAATATGTCTAAAAGTGTACTATATACGATCTTATATGATGTATCCGAGATATATGTAAACAGGGTGAGGAGTAAACCGCAAACGACTTCTCAACCGTCCATTAAAGATGTCCATGACCGGCTTCGACCTGTCGTTCCGGCATCTCCGCTCTCCATACATTACCTTCAGATTCGAATTTCCCACTCAAATTCGCCGGAAAATCACCTGCACCGCTATTAGGCCCACAATTTGCTCAACATCAGCTCCTTCGACCGCCGTTTCCGATTCAAGTATATCAAATCCCTCTTTTTGGAAATTTTAGCTACAGCTTAATTCATCTAATGAACTGATTCTACATCCGATCTGTTTGAATAAAGTATAGAACTTTTGCATTGTATGATGACATTATATCTATCCTGTTAGTCCTTTGTGTTCAAATCGTTTAAAGAAGCTCTTATAGTCCGAAATTTGATGAATTTCATGCCAATTTTTTGTTGTTTTCCTCCCAAATTTATAAGAAATTGTGGTTTTAATCCGTTACATCAAAGTTTGTGGTTACAACTGTTGGATGTCGTATAGCAATTAGATAAACCCTAAAACCCTAAAAACACTATAGATGAACAGAAATATCAAGTTCTTGGGTTTACTTTTTCTTTCTAAATTCCAAAATTTTGTATGAAATACAGATGAGAATCACGCTCGCACTTCATATGGCAGGAGAATGTCGATTTCTATGATCGCATTTCTTTTGCCTCTTCATCAATCAATGCAACATTCTTCTGCTAACGCTAATGCTGCAGAGTAAGTCGATAAAAATATTTGATTCTTGATTTAAACATTGAAAAAAACAAAAAAGAAATTGATGTTTTTTATCAGTGATCTACTCTTATTACAGGAAGAAATAAGAAAAGTATTGACAAAGGGAAAGGCTGCTGGTGTTCTTCGTTTAGTTTTTCACGATGCAGGAACATATGAAACGAATGAAAATTCAGGTATTATTATAATTAATAAAATTATATTTTTTAAATAATGATTTAATTAATTAATCGTGACTAATATATATATTTCAGGTGGTATGAATGGCTCTATATTATATGAACTTGATAGACCTGAAAACAAAGGTCTTAAAAAATCTTTAAAGGTTAATTTCATTTTCTCACAACTTTCTTTATTACAAACACATTTATAATTTTTTTTTTTTCAAATTTTATTTTCTTAGATTATTCTGGAAGCAAAAAAGATGGTGGAAGAGACACAACCAGTGTCAATGTCAGTGTCAGTGTCTGATGTGATTGCTGTAGCCGGTGCTGAAGCTGTTTCTTTATGTGGAGGTCCAAAGATTCCTGTTCGATTAGGCCGATTAGACTCAATGTAAGTGACATTAACCCTAAAATAATAAACTAATTTAAAACTTTAAACAATTATTATTATTATTATTTTAATAAAATTTGAATGCTTTTTAGGGTACCTGATCCCGAGGGAAAGCTTCCGGAAGAAACGTTGGATGCTTTTGGACTTAAACAAAGTTTCAAACGAAAAGGTTTTTCGTAAGTCAACATGACAAATTTTCACTTTATTTTGTATAATCTTTATATGTTTTTTTTATTAAATTTTTAAATTTTTGTAGGACACAAGAACTTGTAGCATTATCTGGTGCACATACTCTTGGAAGCAAGGGATTTGGGAATCCGATTATTTTTGATAATTCATACTACAAAGTATTGTTGGAGAAACCATGGTTATCTCCAGGTTTATTTTTTATGAAGTGTTATACAAGTGATCAATTTTATCGAGTAAATTACATTTTTGGTCCCTGGGTAAATTGTTGATTTTTGTAATTTTGGGTTCTCTTGCAGTTTTGGTCATTGATTGAGGTTTTTGTAATGTTTTTGGCCCCTTATTTCAAGAAAATGACTAATTTTGGGACCAAAATTGTAAAATCAGATATACTCAGGACCAAAAATAGTCATATGACTTGGAACAGGGACCAAAAATGTTATAATAACCTCAAATAAGAACTAAAATTGCAAGAGAACTTTTTTGGGATAAAATTTGCCAACAAACAACCATTCTCAATTTCTCATGGACCAAAAATGTAATTTAATCTTACATTTTTTGGTTTCTAATTATATCTGATTTTTGTAATTTTGGTTTTAAAAAGTTTTCTCTTGTAATTTTAGTCATTGTTTGAGGTTCTTGTAATGTTTTTGGTCCTTGTTCCAATTATATGATTATTTTTTGTCCTTGTGTATAATTGATTTTGCAATTTTAGTCCTAAAAGAAGAGTTATTTTCTTGGAACAGGGACCAAAAATGTTACAAAAATCTCAAATAAGGACCAAAAATGGAAGAGAAGTTTTTTGGACCAAAATTATAAAAAAAACTACAAAAACCTCAAATGCGGACCAAAATTGCAATAGAAATCTTCTTGGGCCAAAATTACAAAAATAAGAGTAAATTACACGAATGGTCCCTATGGTTTAGGGTAATTTGCATGTTTGGTCCCTAACTTATTTTTTTAACTCGGAAGGTCCCTACTGTTTGTTTTTGTTACGCGCTTGGTCCCTGTCTTACTTAAAAAATCTATTTTTCCCTTTATTTTTTAATTTATTTAAATAAACACACCCCTAATCTCACCCTTCTCACCTTACCTTACGTACTGCATTATTTTTTCCTATTTAAATAATAGTCTTTTTAGGTATGACAGGGACCAAGCGCGTAACAAAAACAAACAATAGGGACCAGACACGTAATAAAAACAATCAGTAGGGACCTTCCGAGTTAAAAAAATAAGTTAGGGACCAAACGCGCAAATTACTCAAACCATAGGGACCATTCATGTAATTTACTCCAAAAATAATCTTTATTCGAGGACCAAAAATGTAATTTACTATTTTTTGTTTTCAGGAGGGATGACAAGTATGGTCGGTCTTCCTTCAGATCGTGGTCTCATTGAGGATGATGAATGCTTAAGGTACGTACACTCTACGAAAGTAATAATAATTAGAGTGAATTACTGAAATCGTCCCTATGGTTTGATCAAAATTGCACGTTTGATCCCTAACTTTTTTTTTGCACTCAGATCGTCCTTGTGGTTTGCTTTTGTTGCGTTTTTCGTTCCTATGGTTTGGTAAAAGTTGCATGTTTGGTCCCTAACTTTATGTATGTAAGGGACGAAAAATGCAACAAAATCAAACTGTAGGGACGAAAAACGCAACAAAATCAAACCACAGGGACGATCCAAGTGCAAAAAAAAGTTAGGGACCAAACGTGCAATTTTGACCAAACCACAGGGACGATTTCAGTAATTTACTCTAATAATTATAAAATTTAATTTATGTTTTAGTTGTAAAAATTTGTATTTATTCTTCACAGATGGATCTCAAAATATGCTGATGATCAAGATTTGTTCTTTAAAGATTTCAAGAACGCTTATATAAAACTTGTCAATTCTGGTGCAAAATGGAGGAGACCAAACTCATAGTTCCCACTTTCAACTTGCTTTAAGCAATAAATAGATCCCAAAATTTACATTGTTTTTATAAATTATCATACACATGTCCATGGAAAATTGGAAATTACAACAATTTTCATCTTATATCTTAAAATTTGCAAAATCTTACTTTTGTGACAACAATTTACAACGTGTGAACAATAATTTTATTTTTGTTTAAATTTTTTACTTTTAAAATTAATTCAAGCTAGTTATTTTGATTTCTATAACTTTTATTACGTAATGCTCGGTAAAAATCTAATATGTCATTGAGATTTTCTCATTTTTATCTAAATAATTATATATA